TCTTGAGGTCTGGCCCACAGTGAAAGTACCCATCTCTCTATTTGCAAGGTATCCCATCTTCTGCACTGGCTCCTTTAAGAGCCTGACTCTGTCTGACTGCTTATAATATTTCTAATATTTCTATCTACTCAGTGGCCTACAACAGTTGCTTTATAATAGCTATGAACTAAAAGATGACCATTGCATTAGTTATTTTAAAATACTATGTTAAAAATTCATTTAGAATAGAAATTGTAGAGAGATCCCATATTTATCTGAATATATGACATTGTGGAGAAATGCCAGAGAACAAAGCAAGCAGAGGGATTTCTGTGGACCTATCGAAGACTTACCCAAGTCCTCCCAACACAGAGACTTGTACAGACTTGTAAATAACAAGACATCAACGTACTGCACATTCTTAAGTCCCAAACTGGTAAGACACCAAGACTTTCCATAAAAATTCAGTATGTCCTCTATATCTCCAAAATGCCTCACTCTTTGAAGACACCAAATATGTATTTATTGCATTAATGTGCTGCACCAGAAACAAATCTATGTGAACAATACAAATCCAATCTTTGAGGAAAGAGTGCCTAATGTGTAAAGAGATAGAATGTCCATATGGCAATTGGCATTCTAAAAGCCAAAGGAACTGGATATACTATCCTTAGGATGGATGTGAAAGAAAAATGCAAATGATATGTCTTCTAGATAGTCCATCCAAAGCTGCCTGCTCCAGCTTGGACAGCCAATGAACACAGACCAATGAGGACTACATCATCAACATATGGCAGCTTCTAGGTAAATGTATACAGTAGTGTGTTTGTGTGTGTGAAAGCATGTGTGTGCTTGTGTATGAGTGTGTGCACCTGAAATTGTTTTATTAGTACAAACATTTAAAAAAAAATCAAATATTTGGCTCAGAGTGTTAGAAAGCTTGGAATAGGATCACTTCATTGTCACTGCCAGACTGACCAAGTTTATCACTTTTCTTGAAATGTAGGAAGTGAGAGACATGGGCCGGGAGAGAGAAAACTAGACCACTTGCTAACTTGAGCAGACACAGACAGCACCGGTAGAGCTCAACCAGAGTAATTAATGAATTAGTGGAAGCTAAATGGGAACTGGTGGAAAAGTCCAGAGCCCCTGAAGGCTTCCAGGACAGGATAGTCTGCACTGTCTCAGGGTGTTACCCATAGCCCCATGGGGGGAACACTAAGAAACCCCCCTTGTGGTGCAGGTCTGAGCAGCTGAATAGCTTCTGCTGGTGGGGCTAGAAATGCCCACCAGGACACACTGCTCTTTCATCCCTCCTTGGGACAAGAAAGTCTTCTTCTATGGGGGTGGGAGTAGCAAGCACAGTAACCTGTAGGACACTGGAGAAAATAATCCTTCCACTCCTAGCTTAGGTTTGTCCAGGAGTGACATGATTCTTACAGTGCAGACACTGGGGATGTCCCTGACAAAGTGGGGGGAGCGGTCACTGATAGGATTTTCTAGCGCAGAAAGAAATAAAACAGAAGAATGCCTTTATTGCGGACACAGAGAAGACCACAATAGGAAAGAGGGAGGTGGAGTTTTTGAAGGCCTGGCCTAGGGTCAAATGTTAAAGGGCCAGGCTGGAGGAGGGGTTTAGGGAGTGGACCGCCTGACGTGGCAGACCAGGATTGGGCAGGAGCATGGGGAAAGGAAACAATATATTACAAAAAGGGAAGTAGGAAGTCCTAATCTGACTCAGAGGAGCAAGGGTGGGGTTTAGCCCATGGCCTCTAGTGGCCAGCGGCATACTGGCTCCGCGCCATATTGGCTCAGCTATAGCACATGACCTCCAGTGGGCGGCGCCATAGTGACTCGGCGGGAATTACAGTGAGGCGAGAAACCCATCAGTGACCCTGGCCTGGATGAGGACTAGAGTACCAGATGAGCCCGCGGCTACCCGGGAGGGGTAAGAGAACTGAAAAGCCCACAGCCCCCACATCCACTGCTTGCCTAAGAGTGAGGCTTCATAACAATGGGAAACTCCCCCTGTGCTCACCAGACCCCTCCGAGGGTAAGACGGGACAGAGGACATTGCTGCAAGGGGACAAGAATGTGGAAGCAAGCTCCTCTGTGAGGCAGTGCAAGAAGACAGAAACTGGAAGTGGGACAGATGTTGAGCCCCAACTCCAGGCCAGCAGCCCCAAGGGAGGCAGGCTCCTTAGAGGAGTTCGATGCTGTGGTGCTGCAGCTGAGGAAGAAAATCAAGCAAGCCAATGCCCAGTTCAGAGTCACAGCAGACTTAAAGCTGTGAATAAGAATATGCATCTCCAGGCTTAAAGTCTGCCCCTTGCCTCTGCTCTCCTGAACAAGGTGTCTGACTTTCAAGGAAAGGTTACAAGTCACACGGCAGATCGTGCCAGCCATCAACAGACTCAGACTTAGCTGGGGCAGAGATAGGGAAGCGGACAGACTTTCAAATAACTCTCAGTCATGTGATGAAACTTGTTTTGGGAGAAAAACACTGTGAGAAAGAATCAACTGAAATTGAAATTGAAAAGCAAGAAATGAAAAACAGTCACGAGGGTGAAGAATCCTTGCCACAGGGCTCCTCAGCCGAAGAGTCAGTGAATCTGAACACCAGCCAGCAGCAATATCCCAAACCGAAAAAACAAAGCACGGAAAGATTGAGAACCTCTAGGTATTTACTCAAGAGAAATGAAAACACTCACAGCAAAACCTGGACATGAATGTTTATCCTATCTCTGTTTGTACTGCTGCTCAGATGTCTTTTATCGAATGAACGGATGAACAAAATGTGATGCATCTAGTCGAATGCTACCTGATATTTAAAAGGAATGAACTAGAGATTCTTGCAGCCACAATGATGAATCTCAAACATATTTTGCCAAGTGAAAGTGGCCTGACTCAAAAGGCCATATATTATATTATTCAATTTCTAGTTTCTACATAGAAAAGGACAACGTTGAGAGGATGAGGGGGATTGGAGGTGGGGGAGTGGCTTCTCTGCAAAGGAAAGGCATGAGAGAACTTGGGGGCCGAGTCCACTCCATGCCATGATTGTGGTGGTGGATACACTGTAAGCATTTGTCCAAACCCCAAAATGATACATCGCAATGAGTGGATTTTACTGTATGTCAACTAATGAAACATGTACTAGGATGCTGATGTACCTGAAAATGCAATGCAGATGCTAACAAATATTACTAGCCTGACCGATGAATGACCAGACTGTACTAACACGGGGAAAACAGAACTAAGCTAAGAAACTTTAGAAACCAGTATTCTGGGATACTATTGAAGATAAAGACAAGAACTATTGTATAGATATACCATATTCCAATAGGTAAATGTATTTCTCTTGGGGTGAGCTAACATTTCTGAAACTTCTGTTGTATAATAAGGCTGAACAAAGAAGCAAACATACTGCAAATTACAAAAAAGGTTTCTAATTGTTAGAGAAAGAATAAACCCTGTATTGAACTGCAGTTGGATTGGAAATATAAACTCATAGTTGGAAATGTAGCTGTAGAAATGAATACATATACGTGTAAACATGGGGCTAAGACACACATATGTACACATTATCCTTTTAAAATTCAAATTTATACACTGCCTTCAAGACTCACTCAATGCTACCTTCTCGGTCAAAGCTAAATTGGATTCTGTAGATTCCTGTTTTATAAACCTTAGAGACCTTCTAGAGAGTAAATTCCTAAAGATCTTGTTCAGCTTTTATCTTTTACAACACTCTTTAAAATCTCTTACACAATACAGGCACTGAGTAAACTTATTGAACAAAATTTAGTGTTAGACACCTAGACACAGATCTGGACACATAATAATTAGCATGGCCTTCAGGCAATCAAGCTAGACTTCTCAGTCTTACAGGGTACAAAGACATTCTTCAGGGTTCAGTCCTGCCTGAACTTCTATTTCTTCAATATTACCTAATTAGTTTGGGCATGAAAGCAATACAGATAATCTATAAAAACTTTCTTTAGCCTTCACTTCTCAGAGAAATTGGGATCTCTCCCTAATCCCTGTGTGGTTCTCTTCTCCCAGTTTGTCTCCAATCTTTCAGGGAGATGTGTGCCAACTCTCTGCCGATTCTCCCCTGGTTAACGCTCCCATTTCTCACCGCCACAGTCTAAGCTGTCATTATCTCTGTAACAAGTTTCCAGAAGGTTCTGAACTGATCAACTTGCTTTACACTCTGTTTCATTTCACCCTATTCTTCATTAAGGAGTCAGAATGATTGTTCTAAAACAATCTAAATCATACCCTGTGTCTGAATGGTTTAAAACTCCTCAGTGGCTTCCCATTATGCAGAATAAAATGCAGTCAGTTTGTGTTTCGGTCACAACTGCATTCCCAGCCGTGACTCCCCATCAGTTCCTCAAACTTAGCTGTCTCTTCCTTTTTGGCAACTGTGGCTCATTTCTGCTGCAGCAGAGTTTTCAAACTATCTACAGTGAAGGAACAAATCTTAGTCTTTCCCAAAGAATCTATCATGGAATTATACTTTTGTAAAGTATAATAAAAAGCCAACTATTACAACAATTTTTAAAGAATGTTCTATTTTTAGGCTTAAGAGGCAAACTCGGTCTGATCAAATTGCTGTAAATGTTTACCCCTCACTGGGTTTAAGTAGGGACAAGGAACAGCTACTAAAGACTAACTCATGGGCTACTGAATCTTCAGCAGATAACTGATTCCACTGTGTTTTAAGGTCCTAGTCTAAATGAAACTTCCTGAGAACTGGTCCATACTCTCTCATCACATACTACATTCTTCATATTTCCTATCACCATACTATATTTTACGTATAGCACATATGCAAATCATACAGGCTCAGCACACAAATACAGCCTCACACACGCTACTCTCTGTTTACCTTGTAGAAAATGCTGATCTAAAGAAACACTTAGAAAGTTTGAATATGCTAAAATTACACTTACCAGGTTATCCATATCAGTGTACACCGGTATTTAAATTTAACCTGCTCTCTTCTTTTCTAGGCTGGAGAAGAAAATAGAGAATTGGAATTACACCAAGGTTTGGTGGGACGGGTGTGTGACACTCACTTGCTCATTTTTTTCCTCCTCTTCCTTTCTACTTTTCACACGCAGAGCCTAAAACACTGAGCATTAAATTTCCCTAATTTTTGGGCCCCATGACCTCTGAATAGAGCCGCCCCTGCCTCCCCCCCAAAGAAAACAACAGGACACAGTATTGGAAAGATGAAAGCAAAGGAAAGATTCATTTTTCATCTTATTTTAATTTTTAAAGTTTATTTTTCCAACTGCTTCTGTCAGCAGTGGGGCGCCTCAACCTCCAGTGACTTTCTGTGACTCCAGCAATGTCCACAGGCCCTGCAGCAGACAGCAGTTATGAAGCCAGATGACACCGAAGGCCTTCCCCATTGTCACAGCTCTGCCAATGGGATGGCAGAAGTGCACTTTCTGCCTCCAGCCTCCAATGCACTCCTGGGCCTCCCTTGGGTTCTAGCCAGGACCGAGAGGAACTTCCTGGAGTCACTAGCTCTGCATTATACAACATTTGCTCCCTTGGGCCTTCCAGTACCTTCCAAGTCAGTTCCTTGTTAGAAATTTCCTCTGCTCAAAACATCTAGAATGTTTTATACGTTTCTGAGTGGACACTGATTGATATGTGGTCAGAACAGCAAAAGCTGTTTCTTCCTAACAGATTGCATGCGAGTAAAAAATTGTTCTCTCCTCTGTTTGATGTCAGTATAGATCAAGAAGCAAACACTAAGAGGAATACCCAGAGCATACCGGAATTCTGAATCATGGGAACAATATCATGGATGAAAACAAGAGCCCAGAGTCCTAATTCCCATTACCCATGGAGTGCCCACTGTGTGTCATTTCACCATGCTAACCCTGCTGGTGTTCATTTTTCCTCCCTTCACTGCTTCCAGTATCAAAGAGGCGCCCTTCAGGATGGCTCGAGTCACACAAAGCCCCAACCGCTACAAGTTGTCTAAATAAAGGCAAGGTGTTTGCTTGACCAATGCAACTTCAAGACAAATCTCCTATTTGGTGACTGGACTATCACCCCAAAGTCCTATCTATGTAAAGTTTTGAGTTGCTACTCTTCCACAGGTAACAGTGAAGGGTCACTCATGTGAGGCACTGAGCAGGTGGAAAACAAGCTCATCCCTAGATGTGTAGGAGACAGTGATGCACAAATAACAGGAAACCTTGGAGTGGAACAAGTACTATCATAGAGGTACCAATCAAAGCAACAATAAGAGTGATTAAAGAACAGTAAATTCTGCAGAGAATCCTTTGAAAGGCTTCACAGATAACAGCAGGTATGTGGTGAAGCAAAGAAATCATGGGGCAGAGTGAAAATAGCCAAGCCTAAAAAGACAAAATGGGGTCAGTTGAATTGGACATTCGGAGACTAAACATACATTATCACCCTTTATGATACCTGTGAGCCAAATGAGACTTTTAAATGAAGAAAGGATGTGAAAACACTTTAAAACTTACAATACAGTACAGGAATATAAGACCTAGTGTTGAGGAACTGTATTTGAGGAAGAAAATACTGAACATTTCATACTGTTGGTACACAGTCTCTGTTACTTAGGATATATAATATCACTTATATATGCATATATGATGATCAGCATGTAAATAAAAGAACTATCTTAACAAACTGTCATAACAATGATATAACCTGGTCCACTGAAATGTTTTTTGGAAAGATAATTACATTAAAAGCATAAAAATGAAGCTACAAAAAGAACTTAGTATCTTTTTGAACAATCTAGAATAAAAATAATATCCTTTAATTTCCAGATAGTCCTGATTTGGAAAGGCACTGAGAAATAATAATTTATGAATATAAAAAAGATGAAAATGTGACTCAGTATTGCACAAGAAGAAAAAAATTACAGAAATATAGTCTAAACTCATTTCATTCTTATACATGCCATGATCACTGAAGACACAATAATGGCGTAGAGGTTTTTAAATGCCATTACATGGAAAATTAGTTATGAATTTTCAAAGTAAAATAGCAAAAACACCAATAAATTTAGCACTATTCCGGGATACATATAAATGAGAAATTCTAACCAGGAGGAGGAAATTGTAAACGTCAACCAACCTGAGGGTAAATTGTGCCTGAAACATCTCATTTACTTCTATTAGCACTGTATCAAAAGATGGAAATGGATTGAATAGAGAACTAAGAAAAGTAGCCTAGTACTAAAGGAAATTGATTTATGAAGAATATTATAGGAATGAAAATGTGCAACTTTGTGAAGCGATGACTAAGGAAAGATGACAGCTTATAAATATTTGAAAAGTGTAGGTATCTAGAAAGGAGGAAGAATTATTTAGCATTTTATAAAGAGCTATAATTACACTTTATGAGATAAAATTAGACAACCAAGGTTTAAAACGTTCAAAACTACCTTCCTTGGGATAACAGGAACATGTATTTGAAAAGATAAATAATACGACCTGTAGAATACCTAAATGCTTGTGCCTGGTGTTTAGACAATATAATCAATTTAATGAAGAGAAATGAACAAAAATCTCTTCTGTATAAGTACAATTAAAACTTGATTATTTTATTTATTTTGCACACTTCTTTATTCTAAGAGAATCTCAGGTGTCTCACTGAATCACTGGACAGCAAAATACAGAAGACAAAATCCATAAATACTTCTGCAACCTAATGTTAATCTTCTTTCTCACTGGGCATTCTTACTAGCAGTGGGAAAAGCTAATTGGAATTTTACTTAAACATTACTAAAGGATTGTAACTCATTGATTTAGAGTAATTACAGCTATATACCTAATTGAGGTAAAGACAAATGTTGGCTGCCTTACATTGAAAAGAATTAAGATTTTATTTGCCCTTGACACTAATTATTGCTCTTTTCTGAACTGCTTCCTTCCCTGTAAAATATCTAAACTTCTAGTCACAAATACTTCCTATGTCCATGTTTCATGTCTTGCTGTTTTCTCAAACTCAGCAGAATCCAAATCAAATTCCTTTGATAAAGGAAATAAAATTCACGGCACACTTGGTGTTTGCCAGGTCCTGTGCTGCTGAGCTAGAGATAAAATCATGACCTTGAGAAGAACACTATTAGGTGGAATTCTCAAACCTTATCTCCCCACTATGAGCCATTCCTCAAGTTTTCAACTATCTAGTTCTGCTATAACAGTAAGTCTGTGCTTCCAAGAATAATACAATTTATTGGGAGAATGCTCTCAGCAAAAGGAATAAGGGCAGCAGGGTAGGGCAGGAGAAGGAGGTAAACGAGGTTGTGATCTACATGGGATCCTAGCTTCAGCCTGATCCTATGGGCAGCTGTGGAGCATAAGTTGTATGCCTGAGTTAATCCCACACTGAGATAAGACGTATTGCCTTTTGCATTTCCATGAAAATTAACCACTGACTGTGGGTGGCTATCACCCTAGAAGGTGCTGCATATAACTTATTTTGTGTTTTTGCTCCCTTTCTTTCAGTGGAGAATAATTTTCTGGAGAAAGGGCCACCATGAGCCATTATCAGCCCACCCCACAGCAGGTAGGAAGTGTATGAAGCACCTGGTAAAGGACGTCTCACTGAAACACCATCACACCTCTGGTCACTTAGGGTCATAGCTACTATTCCTGTCAAGTCATGATCGATTCTTCACTCACTCTCCAAAATTCTTCCTTCCATTTTCTCTCTCATCTCTTTCCCTTCTTTATTCCCAACTCCCACTTGAGTAGTCCACGCGCTTACCAATTCACACTTACTTTACAATCTTATTTTCCTGACCAACCTCAAGAGTTCCAGGGCAAAAACATCATGGATGGGCAAATGCACTAGGCGGAAACTGGAGTGTCCTTATGGTTTGGAAGGCTCCCCCCAACATTAAAGGGCTGATTCCTACCCTGTATCATCACTGGAAGGTGGTTGAAACATTAAGAGGTGAGGTATAGTAGGTGGTTTCTGGTCATGGGGGTGTGACCTTGAAGACAATTTGGGGTCTTTGGTCCTTTCTCATCTCTCTCTTTAGCTTCCTGGCTGCTGTGATGAGCAGTTTCCTCCACTATGTGTCCCCACCTTGATGTACCACATCACTACACCCAAAAAGCAATGGGATCAATCATCCATGGACTGCACTCCAAAACAGTGTATCACCATAAAACTTTTCTCTTTTTAAATTAATTCCACATATTTATGCAAGTTACAGGAAGGTAATTAATTAATACAGTTGAGCTGGAAAACTCATTCTTGACCTGCAAGGAACTCAGTGTTATATATCTTCTGATATTTTAAAAACCAGGCATCTGAACTTTTGTGTGAGGACTTTTACATTTTCTATATAGTAGATAATTCTACTTTTTAAAAAAAGAAATTTCTCACTGAGAGAAAAAGAAAAATACATCTCGATGTCAAAAATACTTACCACAGTTATTTCACAAAACCTGGCTGAAAGCTTAAAAGATAGCATTTAAATAAGTAACTATGGTTGAAGGTGAAAGATATTAAGAAAAGTCTCAAAAGCCATATAGATGAAGTGCTGTGGGCTTCAGAAACAAATGAGAAGACCCTGGACCCTCCTTAATAAGGGCCTTGTCTTTATTCAGGTTCCTACCTCTCATCTAGCATGGTGAGTGGCACACAGAAATCCTAAGCAATGGTTCAGATGAACAAAGGCACAAGCAACGATGTACCCTTGCCACAGCCCATGTGGCCAGCAGGGTCCTGAGAGGGGACAATAGGAAATTAAGGAAAAGCAAGACACATAGATGAAAAGCTGGACCAGGTGGGACCTGGCCTCTCTGATGCAGAAACAGTGACAACCCAACACAGTCTGTATCTTTATACACATAAAAAGGGGGGAATCTTGTGACGGAGCTGAAAATGCAAGGTCTCAGTGTTTTGCTGAGAACACTGAAAGCAAAACATTCTCAGAGCTGTCTGTGCTGTAGGTAACGGGGAGGAACACCATGGCCAAAACCTGTTGATATGCCACTGAGCTAGAGGTCCACTTGTTTATATGATCTGCCTCTGGCATTTCATGTTTCTGGGACTGACCTTACTCTAGTCCCAAGGAGTTCACTGACCTCTATCTAGCTCAGCAGTGGCTCAGCTGCTCCCCACCTACCTTATATGCTACTGGTAGTGCAAAGCAGCAAGGACATTCTCCACAACCAACTGATCCTTGTGGCCGCCAAGTAAAAAGTTGAAGCAGTCACCCACTCTCTTCTGGGTTCTGCCAGAGTTACAAACACAGTCCCCTCTCCTCTCAGCTCCTCCCCCAGCACAGAAACCATGGGGCCCTGCACTGTTAAATACCATCCTTGAGTCCACAGGCAGCAGCAGCAAACAAAGTTAGAATTAGTCTCCCATACTAAACAAACTTTTGTAAGTCTATTCATGGGGTGCATGGCACGGTGCATCCATGTGGCCACTGCAATCCCAGGCTCCTCCAGCAGTTCTGGGTATCCCCCAACATACCCAGTATGGGTAGCTCTTTGTTTTCATGCTATAGATTCCTGAATGCCCGATCTTTTGAGAGGACCTAATTTAGAAGCAGCTCTTGAAATCACTGCAAACCAAGTGACTGTAGGCTACAGTTCACCATCACCACTCTTCCAGGGCTCTCTGCTGCAGCTGCTGCCATCATCTCAGCCTCACCTGTGTCTATGGAAGGGACCTGAGCTTCCCAAAAACCTTTCCAGGAAAGGTGAACAGAGTTGAGGCTAGGAATATACCATGCCCAGTTGGCTGCTTCCAAATCCAAGACTTTTCCAGAATATTCCAGATAACCTATGCGTGTATCTTTCCCACTGCCAGGGGGTTGCTCTGGAGCATTTTGCAATCACATGCTTCTCATTCTAATTGGTAGCTTCACATGTGGCTTCTCCACTAGGTGGACTCATCTGTTTATGCAAGGACTTCTCTCTCCACGATTCTCATTTTCCAGAGTTCGAATAGGCGAATCCCTACATTCTGAAATCTCATTTGGGGCTCTCCACTAACCTGAGTCAGGTTAATAAATCCTGAACATAAATATAGTTTGTGTTGTGCTAGCTATTTCAAATGCACCATAAAACCCTTTTGTTGGCTGTTTTGTATTAAAAAAAAGTTTGCTCATTACATAATTGAAGTTCTTTTCACTATTTGCAGAACTGGCTTTTGATGAATTTGCCTTTTGCTAATTGTTCTGCTGTCTTCTTTCCCATGTACTTCTGCAAAATACCAATTCACCATTTGCACATACCTGGCAAAACTCCAATCATAGATGAATCCAGTTTTCTGCCTGTTTTGCTTCCATCTGACTTAGTGCTGAAAAAAAAAATTACACAATAAACCCATCACTAGCCTGCCCACTTTTTGGTTCTCTTTCAGCAGGGGTGTCCAAAGATTTCAGACAGGAACTTCCCCAAATCCCAAATCTGTACCAGGCGCACCCACCTTAGGGCCACCGTAGGCTCTGCTCAGGTGTTTGCTGCTGTAGAGAGAAAAGGTCCTGTCAGGGGTTCCCCTGTCACTGCCTCTGGTCTGTCCCACTCCTTCCCTGCAAGGAGCCTGGTACAGCTCACACATCCTCTTCTTATGGTACCCTTGGCACACCTTCCTGTGCCTCCTCTGTGCCCTTACTGCCACACTGCCCTTTTATCATGCCTGTGATTCTATCCGAGGTTCCCCTCTTCACTCTTCATTAAGTGCTATCTCAAAGTAATCCAGCCAATTCCTGTGCTTTAAGTTGCCTCTGGCATGCTGAT